AACTTACAATGTCTTTAACAGAGAGAGTTTATAACCATCTTTCTATTTTTGATGTAGCTCTTGCGTTATTAGGGCTATTTGTTTTCTGCTGCTTGCGTGAGAAACTAACCAACAAGCACGGTCCAATGCTATGGCCAGTGTTTGGAATTACTTTAGAGTTCTTCTTTAATATAAATGATGTCTATGGATGGGTCACAAGGTCTTTGAAAAAATGGCGAGGTACTTTTCTTTACCGAGGAATATGGCTTGACGGATCTTATGGAGCTGTGACGAGTGTTCCTGCAAATGTCGAGTACATGCTCAAGACTAACTTCAACAACTTCCCCAAAGGTAACTTCTTTAAAGATCGGTTCAATGATCTGCTCGAAGATGGTATCTTTAACGCTGATGGTGAGTCTTGGAAAGAGCAAAGACGGATTATCATAACCGAAATGCATTCATCAGGGTTCATGGAGCATTCTTTTCAGACAACACAACATTTGGTAAAGAAGAAGCTGTTGAAGGTGATGGAGAGTTTCGTGAGGTCACAAGAAGCTTTTGATCTCCAAGACGTGCTCTTGCGCTTGACGTTTGACATCATTTGCATCGCGGGTCTAGGCGATGACCCGGAAACTCTAGCTATCGATCTTCCTCAAGTTCCATTTGCTAAAGCATTCGAAGAAGCAACAGAATCTATATTGTTTAGATTCATGATCCCTCCATTTATATGGAAGCCAATGAAGTTCCTCGACGTAGGGTATGAGAAATGTTTGAGGAAAGCTGTTGAGGTCGTGCATGGATTCGTTGACAAGATGATTGTGGATCGTATCTGTAAGCTCAAGGAAGAAGAGAAGTTAGATAATAGATCCGATGTTCTTACAAGGATTATACAGATAGAGAGTCATAAAAATGGTAACAAGATTGATCCTTCCATCATTAGATTTTTCAGACAATTTTGCACAAGTTTCATCTTAGCTGGACGAGACACAAGTTCTGTTGCACTTTCATGGTTCTGCTGGGAGATACAGAAACATCCAGAAGTTGAAAACAAAATCATCTGCGAGATCAGAGAAATCTTAAGACAGAGAGAGAATTCTCCAACCAACAAAACAGAGAGTCTCTTCAGTGTCAAGGAACTAAACAAGATGGTATATCTACAAGCAGCACTTTCAGAAACTCTTAGACTTTACCCTCCAATTCCAATGGAAATGAAACAGGCAATTGAAGATGATGTGTTTCCAGATGGGACATTTATAAGAAAAGGTTCACGAGTTTACTTCTCGATCTATGCCATGGGAAGGATGGAATCAATATGGGGAAAAGAATGTGAGATTTTCAGACCAGAGAGATGGATCCAAGAAGGACAGTTTGTTAGTGAGGGACAGTTCAAATATGTTGTGTTCAATGCTGGACCAAGGATATGTTTAGGGAAAACATTTGCTTACCTGCAGATGAAGATGATAGCTGCTTCAGTCTTGTTGAGGTACTCAATCAAGGTTGTCGAAGATCATGTCGTTGTCCCAAGAATTACGACAAACCTGTACATGAAGTACGGTCTCAAGGTGACCATCACGCCAAGATCACTACAAGAAGAGAAGAAAATAGAGTCAAGTAAAATTTAATACCTTGCGTAATACTAATACCACAATGTAGCATCTTTTGACCTGTTTTGGAGCAACTAATCTTCTGAATACCTGTAGAGTGTGTGTCTATGTCCAGACTCCAGATAACTTGTTTGATATATTTGAGACTGAAGAAACGTCTTCATCATCCATTGACCAACATGAAAGATTGTTTTACATTGGCTTATTGTGCCCAAGCTTAAAACATTGGCATCCAAGGGCTTATGTCTCTTTTACCTCTTAAGCATTTGCAGATTTTCCGTACAAACATATGGTCAATGGCTTGTTAGGGCTAAGAACTGAATGATTGACAAAAACTAAAGTGAGTTTCCATTAAGTTTCCATCAACCCTAGTCCTGCATTTTTGCGCAGAGTCTAAAAGCCCAGAGCATAAAGAGTTCTAAGGTTTTACAGCAATCCTTGAGTGTGTAGATCTAATGCAAGAAGATTGAGTTCCTTATGCCACACTAATTCCTGCATATCTCATACCAATTCGTTGGTGCTCAGTATAGGGACTCTAAGATCATTCACACAAACTCATGCCAACCTCATTTAGCACCTGAGAAAATCATTGGAGCCATCTTTTATGCCATGGATCCAAAGATATTATTAAGTCCCATAAGAAACATTACCATCATTTTCACTCCAATACCAACCAACCATGATGGCTTGTGGAATATTCCAAGATCAGCCATCAATCTGTTCTTCCTAACTTCCTAAGACAAGACAACACTCCCTTTAATCAACGAACATAGTAAAAACAAACTAGTATTTTTTTTTTAAACTATATGGTGAAATGTTTTAACTATAGTAAACACTATATGGTGTAAATTTTAACTTTAATAAATAATTTTTTTTTGCTAAAAGAGGGAAAATATATGAAAAACGACCTAAGTATTTTAATTCTAGACACTTTTCACTTCTTTCTTAAAGATAAGGAACAACCAAAACTAATTTATCTGTAAGGTTATTGTCACCAAAGACATGACCGCAGATTTTGCATCTTTTGAAGCATTCCTAGCGTTTGTTACGGTTTTCGCCAACACACAATTTGCATTGTCAGTACAAATCTTTAAGTTTCGTGTAAGACAAGAAACTTCATCTTCTTCAAATAGACCAATTTTCCTCAGAAACCATCTACCTGTCTTCAAGAAGATAGCAACAAAAGTGGAGTTCTTTAGCCAAAACAGAAAACGCATGATCAAATGTTTCCTCAAATACTCTTTCAATCTTTTCTTTACGTGTGACATTTTTACTTCATCCTGATCACAAACAAAAACAGAGATTTCACAGAGAGAACTTACAATGTATGAAGTTTCTTCCATGTCTTTAACAGAGAGAGTTTATAATCATCTTTGTTTTTCCGATGTTTTTCTTGCCTTGTTGGGACTGTTTGTTTTCTGTTGTTTGCGTGAGAAGGTAACAAAGAAGCCGGGGCCAACGTTATGGCCAGTGTTCGGAATTACTCCAGAGTTCTCCTTTAATAGGAATGATGTCTACGGATGGGTCACAAGGAGTTTAAGAAAATGTCGAGGTACTTTTCTTTACCACGGAGTCTGGCTAGGTGGTTCTTATGGAGCTATCACTTGTGTCCCTGCGAACGTCGAGTATATGCTCAAGACTAACTTCAAGAACTTCCCCAAAGGTACCTTCTTTAAAGACCGGTTCAACGATCTGCTTGAGGATGGCATCTTTAACGCTGATGCTGAATCTTGGAAGGAGCAGAGACGGATCATCATAACCGAAATGCATTCAACCCGATTCGTGGAGCATTCCTTTCAAACAACACAGGATTTGGTAAGGAAGAAGTTGTTGAAGGTGATGGAGAATTTCGTAAGGTCACAAGAGGCTTTCGACCTCCAAGATGTGCTCTTGCGCTTGACATTTGACAACATCTGCATCGCGGGTCTAGGTGATGACCCGGGTACTCTGGATTCTGATCTTTCACTCGTTCCATTTGCTCAAGCTTTTGAAGAAGCAACGGAATCTACCATGTTTAGATTCATGATTCCTCCATTTATATGGAAACCCATGAGGTTCTTCGACATTGGTTATGAGAAAGGTCTGAGGAAAGCTGTTGAGGTCGTCCATGAGTTTGTCGACAAGATGGTTGTTGATCGTATCTGCAAGCTCAAGGAGGAAAAAACGTTAGGCAACAGATCCGATGTCCTCTCAAGGATTATCGAGATAGAAAGTCACAAGAAGAGCGATGAAAAAGATCCTTCCACTATCAGATTTTTCAGACAATTCTGCACAAGTTTCATCTTAGCTGGACGAGACACAAGTTCAGTTGCACTTACATGGTTCTTCTGGGTGATACAGAAACACCCTGAAGTTGAAAACAAAATCATCGACGAGGCCAGAGAAATCTTGAGACAGCGAGGGGATCCAGTAACCAGGAACAACGAGAGTCTCTTCACAGTCGGTGAACTAAACGACATGGTATATCTACAAGCAGCGCTTTCAGAAACTCTCAGACTCTACCCTCCAATACCAATGGAAATGAAACAAGCCATCGAAGACGATGTTTTCCCTGACGGGACATTCATAAGAAAAGGTTCAAGGGTTTACTTTGCGATTTACGCCATGGGAAGGATGGAATCCATCTGGGGAAAAGACTGTGAATCATTCAAACCAGAGAGATGGATCCAAGCAGGGAACTTTGTTAACGATGACCAATTCAAATACGTTGTGTTCAATGCAGGACCAAGACTTTGTCTAGGGAAAACATTTGCTTACCTACAGATGAAGACAGTAGCTGCTTCAGTCTTGTTGAGGTACTCAATCAAAGTCGATCAAGATCATGTCGTTGTCCCCAGAGTTACGACAACCTTATACATGAAACACGGTCTCAAGGTGACCATCTCGCCGAGGTCAATGGAAGAGAAGACACACGTTCAGAATTAGAGATTCCTACATAATATCAAAAACCGCAATGTAACATGTTCAACTTTTACTACCTGAGTGATAATGGGGCTGATTGGTATTTAGGCTCTAGAGACTTTAATAGATTATACCGCCCTAAAAATTAACCAATCAAACTTTTATTGCTTTTATTGTTTTTAAAGTCACTAAAGTCATTTTCTATTTTTTCTTCTTCCTTCGATGCTTTTTTCTAAAGTCTTTAAAAACTAACTTTGTTTCTTTCTCTTCACATAACAAATGTTCCTTTTTTATCTATTACTCTAATTTCTTATTTCCCAAACAACTAAAAAGCTTTTATGAAACAATACTAA